CCCCCCCTTGTCTTCTTGGGTTTGCAGAAACTGAAACACACGGAGAGCGACAAACTGCAGGTGCAAATTCAAGCTTACCTGGATAACGTTTTTGACGTGGGAGCTTTACTAGAGGATGCTGAAACCAAGAATGCAGCCCTGGAAAGGGTTGAAGAACTGGAAGAAAACATTTCCCACGTTAGTACCGTGCTTTGTCACTTCTGTCTCTGAAATAGTTCAGAGCCTGCTCTGCCCACGGGCTTTGCTGCTGCCGGTTTTGGGAGGTGGAAGCACAGGTGCGGTGGGGCTACAGCCTTTGGGGTGAGGTTTGCTTAGAAAAAAGCCTTGGGACTGCTGTGCTTCTGCCTTGCAGGATAATCAGGTATTTGGCAAATGAAGGAATTCGGGAGATCTCAGGCGGGTAGATTCCCTGCATGCTTTCATGCTGTATTCTGAACCTCATATTCTGCAGGTTTAGTTAATGGCTGCTCCACTCACCACAGAGATTAGTTCACAAGCTGTTTATGAGAAAACGTCTTATTCTGTCGTTTTATTTACTCTCCTGACATAACCCCCAGCTTCTTACAAAGGAGTAGCACTGCCCTATAGACGTGAGGCTCGACATGCCATTTCTGTGCACCTCGAGGGGTGCTTTGGCCCGTGCTGTGGGTGCTTGCCCGTCTGACTGCTTACGTGGCCGCGGCACATCAGCTGCTGTGTCCCCTGAAAGCCACGCTGAGCTGGGAGGGGGTGACCCCCTGGGCCAGGGACCAGCTGAGCAGAGAGGGTTGCACCCCCGAGGCCCTGGCATGGCAGGTTTGCAGCTTTGGAGGCTTCGGGTTCACTTTGGTTGTGGCTCCATGTGGGGTCATGCACGAAGCCTCTGCTTAAAGTTACCTAATGAGCTGGGAAAGCTGATTTCCATAGAAATTGCAAATTCCCCAGCAATGCAGTGCTGGTAAATAGAGCACATAACCATTCTGTCTGTGTTAAAACACGTTACCGGACTCAAAAGGGAAGGGACTGAAAAATAGCACTGTGTAGATACTCAGTGTTTGTTCAGTTCAGTGTTTGCTCACGGCTTTTCTGTCCCGTACCTCCTTGGTGTCAATCACTTTAGTCTAGAAAACATGGCTTGGCTTTTTTAAAATCAAAGTGGTTTTCCATATTTAAAAAGAAAAAATCATTAAAGGGTCATCATTCTCTTACCATTCCTATATTGCCGTGACTTAGAATAAATATGTTCTTAAAAAAAACTTACTGTGCGGTATTTGCCCCTCCGAGGTGCCCTTCTGCTAGAGACAAGGGCTTCGGTGAACTGGCACTGCTTCATGCATCTACTCCTTTTAGCTGTTTAGAAATGTAATGGGTTACTCTGGTGGCAGATTTTTAAGGGCTTGCTTCTGATCTCTCGTTACATAAACGAGACTCATCCTAGGAGGACGGAGATAATTTTCTGTCACGTGTTGACAGAAATACTAATAATAGAATTGCAAAAGTTTTATCGCAAAACCTCAGCAACCAGTGGCACCTCACCACCTCTGCGTCCTCGCCTGAGTCGGCATGACTGGGGGGGATGGAAAAAGCCAACGAGAACCGTGGGGCTTTCAGATCGCAAGTTTGTGGGGCTGGCAAAAAAATAAATTAAAAGACAATGGAGTTAAAAAAATAAAAAGAAAAAACCTCTTTCATTCATTACTAATTAAATTAGCCTTGTTTTGGGAGGTGTTATTTATAGGTTCCACCATTTCAGCATCTGTCAGTTTTCCAACAGTGCCATTGTGGTGTTCTGTGGGGTTTTGGGGTTTCAGATCAGGCTTAGTGTGCATGAAAATAATTGCATTTTAAGTGCAATTTAAGTAGAGTAGGCTTTCTTACCTGGGCAGTTCATAGTTCAGTCCAGCCAGGTTACCTGCTGGTCATGGCTGAAGGATAACACTCATCACCAGAGGAACCTTCAGCAGGGCACTTGGTGCCCCTGATCACATGCAGGAACCCTGTCTCTTTCCAAAGGAAGACTTTAAGGTTTGGTGAAATATCCGTAATTTACCACGTACCAATGCTCCGACAAGCCTTCCTGACATTTTGGTTGAGAAGACTAATGTTACCCATTTACATAATCTTATTTCTCTTTTGGATGATAGTTATCTGAAAAACTCCAAGATACGGAGAATGAAGCTATGGCAAAGATTGTGGAACTGGAAAAACAACTTATGCAAAGAAACAAAGAACTGGATGTGATTCGGGTAAGTGGGATGGGGAAGCTCAGGCGGAGTGCTACACATCAGGGGAGTCACCTCCTGGGCGCTTGGTGTATGAGAGGTGACAGCTCTGGGACTCGTCTTCCTACTTTGGAACCGAGGACAGGTTTCAAGTCGAATTACTTGTGTGTGCGCTCAAAGATGGACATAAAACTCTTCGAATGCGCCGGCAAGTCATTGCATGAGGCGGGTGCATCTTATGGCGCAGGTCTGTAGCATTTTGGAGCTTCTCACACGTGGTTGGCTGTGGAGGGGCGTTGGAGGACCTGGGGTCCTTCAGACATGGGCTGCACGGCAGCAGGACGGGAGCGAGTGCTGTCTGTGCAGCCAGCTTTCTGTGCCCCATCCAGACTCGTTACTTCTTCATGTACATTCTTAGTTACAAAAATATTAACTAACGTCAGCCTAAATGTCGTCCCGAAGTGCATCTGCTTCTAGGGTTCCTTCTGAGTGTCTGCCCTGGGTCCTTGCAGGGACACTCTCCTCTAGATCAGGAGCTCTGCTCCTGCTTCCCTTTACGGGTCAGCATCAGCTCGTAGGCACAGGAACCAGCAAGGCAGCAGGTGCTCGCTGCTGCAGGCAAAACGGAGGAAGCATAACTATGCTGTGTGTGCAAGGTGAGCATCAGCAATGGGAGTCATTGTGTAAAAGCCAGTCAGAGAGGGACCAGGGGAGGGCGATTGCCAGCCGGCTGAACAGGCAGTGTGCCCAGGGGGACAAGGAGGCCAATGGCATCCTGGCTTGTGTCAGCACTGGCGTGGCCAGCAGGGACAGGGAAGGGATCTGAGCCCTGGGCTCGGCACTGGGGAGGCCGCCCCTCGCTGAGGGGGTTCAGTGTTGGGCCCCTCACCCCAAAAAGGCCATTGAGTGACTCGAGCGTGGCCAGAGAAGGGCAACGGAGCTGGGGCAGGGTCTGGAGCACAGGTCTGCTGGGGAGCGGCTGGGGGAACTGGGGGGGTTCAGTCTGGAGAAGAGGAGGCTGAGGGGAGACCTCCTGGCCCTCTGCAACTCCCTGCCAGGAGGGGGCAGAGAGGGGGGATGAGTCTCTGGAGCCAAGGAGCCAGCGCCAGGCCCCGAGGGAATGGCCTCAAGCTGCCCAGGGCAGGGTCAGGCTGGCTCTGAGGAAGGATTTCTGTGCAGAAGGGGCTGTTGGGCGTTGGAATGGGCTGCCCAGGGCAGGGGGGAGTCCCCGGGATCCCTGGAGGGGTTGAAGAGTTGGGCTGAGCCAGCGCTGAGGGATCTGGGGGAGTTGGGAAGGGTCAGGGGGAGGGTCATGGTGGGGCTGGAGGAGCTTCAGGGGCTTTTCCAACCTCGATGATTCTGGGATTGCGTGAATGCTTGTGTTTTTGAAAACAGAGGCAGGGCACCCAGCAGCCTGTCT